CCGTAAATGGTTGTTGAAGAGCATTGCACGCTCTCACGATTCGCGAGTAAGGCCTGATTCTCTCAAAAGCATGTGCACCACACTTGTTTAATGTTCCGGACACAAAGTATATCAATCCCCGCACACCGCCAGCCATTGTTGTGTACGTACCATGGCCAGCTCAGCCCCCACGTCCACGGGCCTCGAGAGTCCGGAGGCGCTCGCGCGTCTGAACGCCGCCATCATGGGCGAGCGCAACCCTCGTGGTATCCCGTCTGCTGTCTTCGTGGTGCGTTTCGTGCTCTTCAACCCCTCAAAACTGCATCAATCTAATATATTTGGCTCTTAGGATTCTGTGGACACCTTCATGGATGCATGCGGCGTCAAAAACATCGAGCCGCTCGTCGGGGCGCTGCAACAGATGTACAGCAAGTACAAATTCATGGAGACGAGTCTCCAGAAGAACCGCGAGACGTTTAAGCGCAAGATCCCGGATACCCAGAAGGACTTGAACATGGTGCGCCACCTTATCGCCAAGCGGGACGAGGGCGAGACGCTGCAGACGCAGTTCAATCTGTCCGACAATGTGTACGCTAAGGCCTCAGTGGACTGCAGTGTGGGCAAGGTCTGCATCTGGCTGGGAGCCCAGATCATGGTCGAGTATCCGTACGATGAGGCCCAGGAGCTGCTGGAAAAGAACGTGGCTACAGCCACAGAAAAGCTGGTACGGACAACTGCCGGTTACGGACATTATGAGTGGGGTTTAACGTATTACGGGTGTTGTTTTGTGGCTGTAGGGCCAGATTGAGGAAGATCTGTCGTTCCTGCGCGACCAGATCATCACGACCGAAGTCAACATTGCGCGCATATTTAACCACGACGTGCGCCGTCGCCGCCAGGAGAAGGACGACAAGTTGGTCGCTGAGCTTGAAGCCAAGTGAGACAACAGGTTTATGTGCGTTAGCTGCAACAGTAGTGCAATTGGTAGCCGTTTTTCAAAGCACGACTCCTGTTCACCTGAGCCTCACTAGCTGTTTGTTTGTTTGCTGGAGATTCTGACATCGAATTCGCTTGATGAGCTGCCTGTTGCAGGGTTGTATGTTAATCGCTTAGGCACTGGATACCTGCGACGGAAACGGCAGTGGATCATCGCTACTAAACCAAGCCCAAAGGGATCCAGGATTGATTCAATCTCTGTGTACAGAAAAGTTTACTGGAATCGCTAAATGTTCTGCTCACGACGATGCTGCTAAGAGTGTGTGTAAACGACGACGGAGTCATTTTTGAACTCCGACTGCATAATTTGTGCAAACCACCCACACTGTCGACCTCAGCGCCCCGGGAGCATTTGGAATAGCTTAGTGATGAGAAGAAAAGTTGTCATCGGTCTCACGCCCATTTCATGCGGATCGAACACAACTTATTTCTCTGTTGTCATGGCGTGCAGTGATCGGAAGGACGGGTTCGACACCAGAATTCTTTCGGATCTGACGGTTACAGTACCAGCTACTTAAGCATGCACATAATGGAAGATATTAGCGCCAATGATAGCACAATCAAGGTTTGAGTTAACCCGATTGAAAGATGTGTTGGCTTGGTATTTTTTTCCCGCTTTTTCTGGTAAATACGTCGAGTTGGTGGTCGCAATGGATATTTGCTCTCCGCAGCATATCCTGCGCGATTCCGGAGGTGTGTACATTGTCGTCAGATTCAATAGCCAAAAATGGAACAAAAAGAAGCCATTTCACGCGTTTAACCCTTTCGCGATGCCCCCGATACCGACTATCCTGGATTTGTAAACTATTGTTTACTAAAGTGACTCGCGAAAGGGTTAAGTACGAATTAATCCCTTGAACACGACGGCCTGTATCAAACGTTAAAAGAATCCTTATCCTGGACCATACACGATAAGGATTTCTTACTTGATTTTTGTATAGGTATATACCATTTTTAGGTCAAAAAGTTATGGGGTGCCTGCGTGTCTCACCTAACCCGTTCCGCATCTATCCATTTTCCAAAAGAAAATTAAAAGGTTTTAGTGTTGTGTATGCCACACTCGATAAAATTTTACGGGTCAATGCTCCAGCACCACTTCTTTGGCTCATTCGAGATTTCGCCGGTTTTGATACACATGTCGGGTTTTCGCGCATGTTGGGCCGAGTTGAAAAAAGGAGGGGTGGACGTCAAAGAGGTCAGTAGGCCTGTCCGACCATCACACGTATTTGATGCCGGGAAAGACGAGGAAAGACACCCGATGCGTTGATTTTTTCGTGGGGGAAGAAGAGTTAACGCGCTATTTGGACCGCCTCGATATTGGTGAGCAGGTATAGCTTGTTTTCAGTATATTAAGGAATTCTAACATGACCGCGGCATTCAGAGACAGCCGCAAAAGCCAAGCAGGCAGTGATGCGTTTGCCTGAAGCTTCGGGGCCCGATCAGAACCTACACAAGAGTAGCGCGAGTTCGGCCGACGGACCAGAAGGTATGTGTATATCTTACGTTATCTGATACAGGATAGATGTTATTGAATCTTGTTACCGCTTTAGCAGACGTGGTAACGCAGCACGAGAAGACCACATCCCAAGACGAGCAGAATACTGGCGACAGAACAGAAGGTATCGTATAGTTGTGTAAATGTGGCGATGTGCGTGCAAGCCTTAACTCTATGATGTGTTTCTACTCGTGTAGATGCCGATATCGACTGTGTACACAGTCCTTGTCGCCCACCGTCAACTTCGAAGTGCGACCCGGCACCGCGTGAGTCCGTACCGATGGAGGACGTGAGAGAGTCCGGAGAGATGGTGGGAGATCGTGAGTCGAACGCAATGGTGGGCGAGCGTAACTCGAAAAAGAAGTTAGTCCAGCACGATTCCGGTGAGGTGGACGGTTCGTGTGAGCTTGATAGCGCGGAAAGCCCCACACGGAATCTGGATGAGCAATTTCGTTCTGTGGACGACGATTCTAACGCAGCGGAACATAGCCATTCGTCAACAAACGCTGCAATTTCTTCAGGTTTGTTATCCTGTATATACAGGATTGTAATACAGGCTAATTTTTCAATCGTGTATATTATTGAAATCATAGATATCAACCTGGTGCAAGACCCGGATGACGATGGAGAGTACAAGGCGATGGAGTCAGATTGTGATAACGATGATGGACCTTCATGTGGCGACGAGAGTGTGTCGGAGGGAGAGACGGATGACATTACCGAAAAAGTCCACGTCGAGGATGAAGAAGAAGCTGATGATACTCTGTTCAACGCATCTTTGATCGACTCAGTTGGGG